AACACCATTGGGTAAGTGACTTCCAGCAGTACCCTCCAACAGCATATGATAAGAAGAGGAGGCAGCTGAGTAACCCAGGGTTTGATTTTGCCTGAGCATCTGGAGAAAGTGGTTTCATAGTCCTTATTAGTGGGAGTTAAACACTTGTGGGTGATGATGAAATCAAGGGTGTGACCCTATGTCTGTGTGCCTTATATAGATTGAAGGACATTGAGAAAGTGGGAGGGCAAAGTGTTTGAAGAAGAATCAATATGTATGTTAAGTGCCCTGGTATCAGAGCAGAGGTTAGGGTGGAGGGGGAGACTGAGCGCCAAGAACCAAACTCCTTGAGGAAGGAGATGTAATTTAGGGACCATTAGATAACTGCCACCAGGAAGAGAGGCTGCTAAGTGATGGAGAGGAACAAGGAGTCCTTTTCAGGACCAATGTATTGAAGAATAGGGAGGAGAGGAAAGTACAGACTGTGAGAAAGGATGGCTATCTTATAAATGATAGTGATATCCATTCTCTTTTAGTGTTAGAGAAGAAGGGAGATTGAGCGTGATGTTCATCAGCTCCTCCTCTAAAAGAGGTTAGGTTCCTGAGTCTTGCACTCTGGAATGTATTGTGTTGGTTGGAAACAGTTGGTTGTTGGAGGCTCTGATTCTGGAGGTGAAGAAGCTGGTGTCTGGGACTGTAATCCGAAAGTTGAGATGTAATGATGTAAATGAAAACTACATTTAACCAGCAAAGCTCACCTTCAGTGCAATGATCAGGAGAACATATTTTTCTCCCCTCAATGCTGCAGGTAGTGTATGGTAACAAACTGATTGGTATGACAGTCATTTGATTGGTTTCATTTGTCATAAGGGTGGGTTTGAAGTAGTGGTCAGGAAAAGTATATTGGGAAATGATGGTGGCATATTTTCTCCACATGTACACATATAAAGTAATGGGAAGTATGTGAGACCATCCAAAGAAAACTAGAGGGACTCTCTGTAGGATATTAAGGAGGAAGGGTCAAAGACCTTGATAAGGTGTTGACACCAAGTCTCCTAGTTGGCTAGTTCACAGAAGTCAAGGACTTTGCCATTTTTTCGTCTTTGTACCCCAAGTACATAACATACAGTGGGTACTTAATAAATAATTTCTTGAGTTCAGTTGAATGCCTTGCAAGAATGGTGTGTCCTTGGCATAAATAGAACAATGGCAAAAAAGGAAATGGTTTCATGGGAAAAGTGATTAATTTGTTCACTGAGCTGCAACAGAGGTACAAGATTATATCTAGAGCCCTTGTGTTTGGAGGGAGAATCCAGTCCAGCAGTCACCACTTCATCTGGGTTTTGTGGTTTTTCGGTGGACAGTGTTTCTACTCACTTCTAGTTCTAGGTTTCTCTGTCAGTAACTTGGGAATTAAACAGGAAGATAGCCCCTTGGGCTTCACTGCCTGAACCTGAAAAGGCCCTGTTGAAACAAAGAATCTTCCATTGGTCTTCCGCTGATACATGTTTTTTGTAGTATTGTTTCAAATAACATTGTTATACCCCATTTAATTTGTGAAATTCCTGAGAGTTGTCATGTAACACCTTCAGTTTGGGAACATAAGGAAGTAATATAAGCACTGGTAATATTAAAATTTCCACTTATCCTTCTATTTAATATCCTAAACCTCTCACTGAAGATGCCGCTTAGGGCCTATGAACTGGGCTCAAAATTGAAGAAGGCTTAAAAAGGAAGAAGCGAGTGAGGAAATTTGCACAATTCTTTTGATGACCTGCAACAGGGGAAACAATTTAGGAGTACATATGAAATGTACCAAAAAAATATTATTAATGATCTTGACAGTAATTGTACAGAATAAACAAAGGGATAGTGGTGGGTATAGGGACTGGGCCTATGATTTCATTGAGAGCTCTTCCCCCTGGTGAGGAGCTCCCCCCCACCCACCCAATACAAGTAAGACACTTTTTTTTTAGGCAATTGGGGTTAAGTGACTTGCCCAGGGTCACACAGCTATCAAGTGTGAAATGTTTGATCTGAGACCAGATTTGAACTCGGGTCCTCCTGACCTCAGGGCCAGTGCTGTATTCACTGTACCACCTAGCTGCCCCAAGTAAGATACTTTTTGAGCAAGTAATACTTAGAGTACTGAGAGCACTAAGAATTAGAATGATTTGCCCAGGGTTACACTACTAGCTGCTCCTATTCACCCCTTTTCTGAAACTGCACAGTTCTATCGGAATACTTACTATTTGGGGTGATAGGCCCTCTCCCATCTCTTTGACTTCAAACTTGCTGTACCCCAAGCCTCAAATGCACTCCTTCCTCATCTGCCCCTGTTGGAATCTCGGCTTTCCTGAATTCCTGAACTCGAGTTAACATCATGGAGCCTTTCCTTAACCGTTTAGTTGCTATTCTGATTTCATTTTACATTCATGTTGTTTTCCTTCAGTACTTCAGTTCTAGTCACACTGGTTTACTTACTACCTGTTCCTCATAAGCAACGTTATTTCACCTCCATGTCTTTTCATAGATGATCTTCCTCCCTGGAACGTTCTCTTTTTCTTCATTTTTTCCTACAGACGTATTGTAATCTATCAGTATCTAATGATCACTTCACAAGAAGCTAAGTTCTTACTATATTTGAGCGCAGTGCTAAGTTTTGGGGATTTAAACACACACAAAAAAGCCCCTGCCCTCACGAACCTTACCTGCTTCACCTGCTTGTTAGAATCCCTCCTTGCATTGAAAGCATACATAGTGCACCAGAAGCAAGAGAGCAGTTTCTACACGAGCCATACCATTGCAAAAGTGTACAATTTTAGACAGAAGAATTGTGATCAATGCAGTAATGATAAAGAATGCTGCCCCCCCACCTCCTGGCACAGAGGTGATGGATTCGGTATGAAGAATGAGACATATTTGCTACTGCAGGAATTGCTTTGTTTGACTGTGGATATTTGTTACAAGGGTTTTGTTTCTCTTTTTTTTTTTTTTCCATGGATGGGGGAAGTGGGAAGGAAAAATGAATAAATGCTTAATCATTCGAAAACAAAAACAACCAAGAATATCTCAGGTGCTGCCTCTTACAAGACACCTTTCCTGACATCCCTTCCCCCCCCAGTTATTAATTCTCTCTCTCTCTCTTTCTCTCTCTCTCTCTCTCTCTCTCCTTCCCTCCCTCTCCCTCTCTTTTCTCTCTCTTCTTTTTTTCTCTGTCTCTCTCCCCCTCTCCCTCTCTCCTTTCTCTTTTCTTTTTCTTTCTCTCCCTCTACTCCCTCTCCTCCCTCCCTTCCTCTCTCTTTCTATCTCTCCCTCCTTCCCTCCTCCTCTGTCTTCCCTTCTCTCTCTGTTATAATTTGCACGTACTTTGTTTTTATTTACTTGAGTACATGTTGAAAATAAGCTTTCTGAGATCAAGAACTGTTTCATTTTTGCCTTTATATCTTCAGTATCTAGCACCAGTGCCTTATACATAGTTGGTACTTAATAAATGCTTCTTTAATTGAATCGAAGGGAGAGACTGAAAACAAGGAGATGAGTTAGACAATTACAATAATCCAGGCAAGAGGTAGGATGAGAACCTAAATAAGAGTAGAGAGAGTAGATAAAAAAAAGTTAGCCCATGTGTAATTGGCAGGCTGTGGCAACTGATTCTATACCAGGGAGAAGGAAGAATCAGTGATATTAAGATTTTAAGACTGCTTGTCTGAGATGATAGTGTCATCAACAAACATGGGAGATGGGAGAAGGGTTGAATATATATGTGTAGGTGTGTATGCTTTAATATTTGATACAAAATTCAAAACATTTTAAATTATTTTAATGGTTAGATCAGTTTTTCAGATACACATCAGTAGTTTCATATATGTATATATGTGTATATATATATACATAGAGAAATAGAATCTGTATATAGTATATATGATATAATCTATATGTAGTATATAGACTATATATTATATATTGTGTATATAGCATACTTTATATACTACATAAAATATAGAGTATATATGTGTGTGTTATAGGTAGATACTATGTGTGTGTATAAATATATATATAGAGAGAGGGATTCTATATATAGTTTTTGTAGTGTAAATATCATATAACCTATATATAGTATATAGACCAGGTCTGCATAGCGTGTGGCCTGTGGGCGCTTACAGCCCTTGGCCACCTGCCACGTGCCAAGAAATTTTGGGCAGCCTGCAAAAAATATAGAGGAAAACATCCTTTGTAGGTAGAGGAAATCCTTTGGCATTCCACAAGTGGCTTGTGGGGCTGTAAGCGGCCCACTGGCCACAGGTTGTGCAGGCCTGCTATAGACTATATAGTGCATATCATCTATATCTCATATTTTACATACTATATAGAACATATAGTATGTAGGTGATATAGATACTGTATATAGAAATAGGAAGAATCTATATATAGTATATATAGTTTATAGTATATATATGTAGTATATATAGTATATATAATCTATATAGCATACTTTATATACTGTATAGAAAATATAATATATGTGTGTCATATAGATACCATATATAGAAATAGAATCTATATATAGTTCATGTATATAGTATACATGTAGTATATAGACTATGCAGTTATATCATCTATATAGCATATTTATATATTATGTAGGATATATAGTATATGTGTGTGATATAGATAGTATGTGTATAGAGAGACATAGAAAGAGAATTTATATATAGTATGTATAGTTTATAGTGTATATGTAGTCTATAGTATATAGACTAGTGTATATCATCTATATAGCATATTTTATATACTAGTAGAACATATATATGTAATATAGATGGATAGATGGATGGATGGATAATAGAGGAGAGGTGCCTGTCCAGGTGCAGGGTTGAACTTAATGACCTCTGAGACCCCTTCTAACACTAATTTTGTGATTAAAAACTTGCTTTTTCTTATTACATGAAAATGCAGTTGTGTTTACTTAACAGACACACATCTGTTACTATATTTTCTTCTCCTCTTGTCCTTTACAGGTACTTCTTATTTAACAGACATAGTTTGGTGGTCTGGAACAATTGCAAGTAAGTATGTCATACAATGACTTTTCTTTCTTTTTTCTTAAAAGCGATCATTCATTCCAAGTATAGTTAGAGGTCTAGGGGAATGACATACTGGTTCTTTCTGGGTGGCTTTAATTTCATTCTACTCCTTCTGGGTACCTGAAGTACCTTCCGGAGCTCATTTCCTCCTCACTGTTCTCTTCCTTTTTTTGGAATGGAATAAGTTAGGGTAGAAAGGACAAGGACACTGAGAGTGGGGACAGATGGAGAGAACTTGTGGTGGGATAGGGAGGAAGGAATAGGGGGAAAATTATTCCATTATCTTTTTCTTCTACCTCAAACCTTGTTTCTGAGTCAGCTTTTCCCAGTGCACAAGATGTGCCCATAGTTTCAGGCCACTTATATCCTAAATATCCTATTTTTTCAGATTACCAAGGAAACACTTAGGTTTTGCATGAATTAAGTAGAATTTCATATATTGAAATATTCACTTTTGTTCATCAAAATAAATGCTGTACAGTAATTTGTATGATAGTTTGTGTGTGTGTGTATAGAGAGAGAAAGAGAGAGTGAGAATTTTAATTCTGCACCTTAAATCCCCCAAAGAAACTGAACAGATTCTGTGAGGTTTATTTTTAAAGTGTTTTATGATAAGAAATATGAAATGTCTTTTTAATTGAAATTCTTTCCTTTAAGGATTATTATAAATTTTCAGTTAGTATTGAAATGTATGTGATTTCAACACCAACTTGGGCAGCAAACCTGAGAGTTCTTTCTTTATGGATATTTTTAAGACATTTGGAGAGCTTTGGTTTCAAGGTCCATCTCGTGGACCTAAGGAATACTTATAATATTATCTGTTATCCACCCTAGTTATGTAAGTTCAGGGGAGAGACTCCATAAAATTCATTTCCCATATTCTAATGTAACTCATGCTTTGTTTTTATTTGGATTGCCAGTGCTGTTAGGTGACGACTGAAAACATTATTTCAATGCTGTGTTGTTCTAATATTGGCTATAAAACTAAAATATTTTAAATCATTTTAATAGTTTGATAATAATTCTCCAGAGTTTTGGGGTAGGGTATTTTATAGTATGTACATCAGCAGTTTTTTTTTCAAACGAATAGTGTAAAAATTTAAGCTCTATCACTATGTCTTCACTCCTGATCCAAATATTCATTCTTTTATGCTAACGTACATCTTAATGTAACGATTATAAGACATTTTTTTGATTCTCTTAACAGTGGCTCTTGGTCAGATTGGAAATTTCTTAGCTTATACAGCAGTTCCTACTGTGCTGGTCACTCCCCTGGGTGCTCTTGGTGTTCCATTTGGGTGAGCATTGGAATTTTGCATTGTGATATTTCATGAATTCGTAGGATATGAAAGGGTTTTTGCTTTAAACTTTCAATTAAAAGAATAAAAATAGGAACTTACGTATCTTTGGGTTTTTTACTGTAAGCCAGAATTTCTCACATTTAATTTAATCCTACTTGTTAGATAACTTTTCTTCCAGAATTTGCTTTAGTATATTTTAGAATGTGTTAATATGACTTAATTATGGACACCTAAAACTTCCAGTTATGGTATGAATATTAGTTTTTGGTTTACTACTCTTTAAGCCTGGTACTTTTCCAAAAGAACTAGCAGCGCTTCTCTGACTTCTTGGCAAGTATTCCGAAGTTAGTTATGAAGCCAATTGAACTAAACTCTGTAATTAAAAAAAACTAGTAATTATTTGTATGGAATATTCACTGCATAGCTTAATTTAAAAAATAAATTCTTTGTTAAATATTAGTATCCAATTTGTCTTTGGCAGAAGCTAGATTATAGAGAAAAATAGGGGAGAACAGAGAGAAACTCTGTTTTTTAAATCCATTGAATCAGAATCTTTTAAATAAAAAAAATTCCAGAGTCCTTTTGAAAGTATAAGCGCAGTAGGCATATTTAATTTTTGTGTCCTCACTGTCACCTTGCACAAAGAGTGCAGACATTCCATAATGTCAAAACATTTGAAAAATTGAATTGGAATCTAGTGCTTTATGTATAGCTGTATGTCCTGTCTACATAGGACATAGATTGTAAAGGTGACAAATATATAAAGTATCTAAAATTCCTATTTTTATGCTCAATTTGATATAACTCTTAAGAGTTACGTTTTAAGTTAATAAGCATTTATTTTCTTTCCGATCTCTCCCTCCCCCCACCCTGGAAAAAACTGGGGAGGGTGGAACAAAATACACATATTTGAATAAAACAAATTCCCACATTAGCTCAAAAATATATCTCATTCTGCATATTTAGTTAGTCTATAACCTCTCTGATGTCACTTTTGCTTTTTATACTTTGCAGACAGTTTTATTAACTAAAAATGTGTTTAATCACATTTTCTTTCTGATTTCAGTTGAAATGGAAGATATATTCCCTTGGGGAAAGAATACTTAGATCCCAACAAAAAACTAGACACAGAATAAAGAACACCTTCTGATTTCTCTAGGACCTTCTTTCATAAATTATGCCCCCTTTCCTTTTGTATTTTCCATTTTTCCCTTTCCACTAACTCCTTGACTTCTCCCTAAGGGGTAAGTCCTTCCCTGGGTCTGTGATCTCATCAGCACAGATTGCCACACATCTACACCCTGTCATACCATGCAGTCCTTGTGTATTTCAATAAATCGTCCTGAAAACATCTATCCAATGGAAACTTTCATCTAGTGTAGGAGATCTTAACCTGTAGTCCATGAATTTGGTTTTTTTTAATATTTTAGATAAGTATATTCCAGCACAGTTGATTTCCTTTGTAATCCTATTTAATTTTATGCATTTAAAAACATTGTTGTTGTAATTGTTCAGTCATTCAGGAGACAAGTAAAATGATCTAGTACTCCCATCTCTGAGGATTTATCACATTTTGTTGTCATCCACCCAGTCAGAGGCTTTAGTGTAATCAGTGAAGCAGAAGTAGATGTTTTTCTGGAACTTCCTTGCTTTCTCCATAACCCAGTGAATGTTGGCAATTTGGTTTCTAGTTCCTCTGCCTCTTTGAAAACCATTACTTAGTAGTCATCACCAGACCACCAAAGATGTCTGTGACACACAAAAACATCAGCAACCTCTGATCTACTGATAGGAGAAAAGCATCTTTTCTAGAGTTATGTAACTGGCTCACCTGTTTTCTGGTCCTTTCCTGGATGATATCCCTTATATCACTCTTTGCATGTAAGCTGTCGTTGGTTAATATGCTACATCCTATTTATACTCGCTACATCTCTCAAAATTTTTTTGAAGGATTCATTGGCCTAAAAAAAAAAAGCTTCTCCAGACCATGTTACTTTTTTTAGGCTCCATTTTTTTCTTTACTTTTCACGCCAGACTTGTAGTTGACCATACCTACTGCCTCCTTTTGTTCAACATCCACTCACTCTTTAACCCATTTGTAATCTTGTATTCCTACCAACTTTGTGCCAAAATTATTCTTAGATGTCTATATTGATCTCCTAATTTTTAAATCCCATGGCCTTTTCCTTAGTCTATCTTCTTATCTTTTCTGCTGTATTCAATGATGTTGATCACTCTTCTACCTTGTCTTCCATGACATTGCCCTCTCCTCGCTCTTGCCTCCTCTTTGGGTGGTGTTTCTGTCTAATTCACTGGTTCCTCTTCCTGTCATGTTATCCTTCCCCTACCCTGCCCTCTTCAAAAGTTGGTATTTTTCATAGTCTTGCCTTTTGTATTCTTTTTTTCTTGATGTTCTTTCCCTTGGTTATTTTACCTGTATCATTTCAGATGACTTTTGACTTTTTGACTTTAACCCTCTTGAGCTCTTGACTCATGTTTCTGTCTCCTAGGTATCTCTACCTGAACATACTTCCAGCTTTTCAAAATTTTCAGTTCTTCAATGGATCAGTGATCATGATGGTTAGGTACTTGCTCCAGCAATGCAGCTTGCCACCCATCAATCCTGTGTGATTCTTGCTTTTGTGTTCCTGCAGATCCTTCATGGGGGTCCACCCATTATACTGGAGGTCTTCCTGGAATTCTCTTGACATGAAGTGGATACCATTGAAGCATGCTCTCTTCCTCAGTTATCCCTCCCTTTTGCCATGTGGTTGGCCTACATATAGTTAAAATCATTTATGTGGCTACTTTTGTGCATTTTTTCATTAGTAATATGTTATAGCCTCCTATCCACCAAGTGCCTCTCTATTGCTCTTTGGATGACTCTTGATTTCAATTCTTTGAAGATTGTAGTATTCTATTACTCATTCATATAGCATCAACAGATGACACTCCAGAAGAGGAATGATTTCTAGTACTTCTTGTTCCCTTTTCTACCTCTTGGTCACTGCTACTGCAGAAGGAGGAGGGGGCTGAACAGGAATGAGGGTCATTTTTTCCCTTTGTTTCGTTGGTTGCCATGGCCGAATAATCACCAAAATACACTTCTTTGTACTTGGCTGGGTTGGTTCTTAAAATGGCAGACATGGTGTGTCTGTATTGAAAGTTTTTCCAGCAGGGTAGAGCCCACCTAAGTTTGTGCTCCATTGCTACTGTCTTTGAGAGCCCAGAGTTACTTCCACGCAGGAAGACGGTATCCAAGTATGTCTTCATGGAGGACTTCAAACTCACTGTGTCCAAAACCAAACTTTTCCTCTTTCCTATCAGTTTTTTTTCTGACTTCCCTCTCTTTGACAACAGGACAATCATCAATCAGTAAACAATTGAAGCGCCTGCTGTGTGCTACATGGCAGTTCTAAGCACTGGGTATACCAAGGCAAAAAAATAAATAAATAAACAGCCCCTGCCCTCAAGGAACTTAGATTATATTAGGGGAGACAGGAACATAAATATGTATATACAAATAAGTTCAAGGTGATTTTTCTGGGAAGTATGAGCAGCTTAGAGAGATCAGAAAAGGCCTCACCATAAGATAGTGATTGAGCTGATTTTGAAGGAAATGAGGAATTTTAAGAGGCAGAAGTGAGAAGGGACAATGTTCCAAGTATGGGGAACAGCTTAGACAAAGGTAAGGAGGGAGGATGGAATAGCATGAGGAAAAACAAAAAGGCAAGTTTAGCCAGACTGTACTGTGGCTGAAAGAAAATAGAAGTGGGTTGGAGCCAGATTGGGAAAGGCTTTGTCAGCCAAACAGAAGAGGTGGTATTTGATCTTAGAATTAATAGGGGCCACTGGAGTTTATGGAGCAAGAGAAGTGACCTGTGTTTTAAGAATATCACTCTATAGTCATCTGGCAAAAAACTTCAAAAAACAAAAACCCTCTCCTATCCAAGTCAATAGGGCATCTAGGTGGTGCAGGGGATAGAGTGCTGGGCCTGGAGTCAGGAAGACTTATCTTCCTGAGTTCAAATCCAGCCACAGACACTTATTATCTGTGAGCCTGGGCAAGTCACTTAACCCTCTTTGCCTCAGTTTCCTCATTTGTGAAATCAACTGGAGAAGGAAATGGCAAACCACTCCAGTATCTTTGTCAAGAAAACCCCAAATGGGTGAACAACAGCAACAAAACATCCAGATCAATAAATCCTGTTTCTGTTGGTGTGATATTATTTTTTTTTTTACTTTTCAACATTCATTTTTTATAAGAGTTTGAGTTCCACATTTTCCTCTCCCCTATTCCTCCTTCCCTAAGATGGCAAGCAATCTGATATAAGTTATATATGTTCAATCATATTAAACAGAGTCATATTGTGAAAGAAGAAACAAAACAAAAGGGGAAAACCAGCCAAAAAAGGTGAAAATAGTATGCTTTGATCTGCATTCAGACTCTGTAGTTCTTTCTCTGGATGTGGATTAGCATTTTTCATCACACGTCTTTTGGAGTTGTCTTGGATCATTGCCTTGCTGAAAAGAGCTAGGTCAGTCGTAGTTCATTACACAGTGTTGCTGTTACTGTGTACAATGTTCTTCTGGTTCTGCTCACTTCACTCAGCATCAGTTCATTTAAGTCTTTCCAGGTGTTTTTGAAATCAGCCTGCTCATAATTTCTTATAACACAATAGTATTCCATTACCACAGCTTGTTCAGCCATGCCCCAAATGATGGGCATCTTTTTAGTTTCCACCACAGAAAGAGCTGCTATAAATATTTTTGAACACGTAGGTCCTTTTCCCTTTTTAATGATCTCTCTGGGATACAGACCTAGTCGTGGTGTTGCTGGATCAAAGAGTATGCATGCACAGTTTGATTGCCCTTTGGGCATAGGTCCAAATTGCTCTCCAAAATGGTTGTGTTAGCTCAGTGTGATATTATGTGTGTGTGATCTAGGGGTAAGCAGTTTTTGTATATCTTGTGAGCTAAAAGTGTTACTTACATTT